CGTACTAATGTGAAAGTCGAGAGCAACGCAATGAACGCCGTCGAGCTAATGCATTGAGATAAAGACTGGCCCGTCAACGAGTCACCGACACATTATAAAATAAAACTATTATAATTTTTATTATCACTATTATTTACATATCACAATAGAACACATTTAAGCCGCCACAGGTGGACTACCCTCTTTTCACCTATTTGTTTTCATTCAGTTCTGGCACAGGTAATGCCTGGTGCGGCACAACTAGTATAGTATATATTTATACGGGATACGTTTATACTCGTTTATATATATATATATATCTTTATATATTAAATAACATGTCCTGGCTGACTGATTCATCTTCGCTTAGTCCAAACCACTGGACGGATCGTGCTGAAATTTGGCACACAGTTAGCTATTATGACGTAGGCATCCGCTAAGAAGAGATTTTTGAAAATTCAACCCCTAAAGGAGTAAAATAGGGTTTTTTAGGTATATTTGGTACAAATATCTAATTGCTTATTTATTCATTTTTGTTTATTCAAAAGTTACCTTGGTGTTACGAATAATAATTTCGGTGACACAGAAAATAAAACTATTATAATTATTATTATTACTATTATTTAAACTATTAAAATTTCACAAAAGAACACATTTAGTCCGCTGAAGGTGCACTATTCACTTTCTACTTATTTGTTTTCATTCAATTCTGGTACGGACAATACCAAAAATGATTATGGGCAGAATAATAATAATACAAATTGGGACGGGCAACGCTGGACGCGGGAGAGCTATATGTAAATAGGGCCGGCTTGGTGAACAGTGGGGCTATGTGTGAAATACTTTTGCGGGGGCTATTTAGTGAGTGTTCAGTTGTTTGTGTCTCGGGAATAGTCCGATATTAAGCGATATATATACATCGATGAATCTCAATCATTGAATGATTACATAATAATATAATAACTGCTTATTTATTAGGAACGAATGGGTATAATACAAATATCTAGCCAAATACTCTAAATTACAGGGCTTTAAACCAAAATGATTTTTTTGTGGTTAATGGTTTTTAGTTCTTCAATTTTTTTTTCGGTTTCAAATGCCGCCTAATATTGATCCTACATTTTATTGTTTTTTAAAACCGGTTTTCAAATTAATAAAACCAGTTCTTTTTAAATTTATTTTTCTTAAAACAATACTATACAAGATCATATTACAATATCATAGTCATATTACAGCCTGTATAATAATAACATACATCTATGTAAGTACTAAGTTGTAACGTCCAAATATGACAAAAATCCTAGGACTCCGGTCTTCGGACCTCAGTCCTAGGATAGCGACCTTCCCACAAGGCAAGTAGTCAGCTAGGCGCTCGGGTCGGTCCACAAATAAGGCCAACCGAACCGGGACGTCTCAAAGTGTAGTACATAAGTACATAATATTTATCTAACACTATAAAAAAAAAAGACTTACTAGGATAATGGGGACGGGTGCAGTCACTGTTATAGGTGCCTAATTTAATGTATTCCATAAGCAACGATAAACCATTGCTTACGAAAAAACGATTCTGAACGGAGTTCAGTTGATAATGATACTATGTCAACCATAAATATTCCAATTATAGTAAAATAATTAATTAGGCTCTGTATATTTTCTTTAATAAAAAAAAAATAAACATCTTTGTAAAACCATAAGCTTCTTCGCTATACCCAGAATCTAAAAACATAAAACTAAATGTTAACTAATTTACTTTATTTTATTGTAAATTTAAACATTTTAAATTTTAAATAAACTTTATTTTTAACTTATTACTTGTACAATACTATACCATTAAAGTATAAAATTATAATTTGTACCTCATAAAACAAAAATAACAAATTAATAAATAGTAATTACTAATTATTACCACGGATAACCATTATATCTTCTTATATCTGTTCATCAAGGCTGGTTTTTAAATCATTTAATATGTATTTTATGCCTAAAAATTATCTCTCAACACTAACCTAAAAAGTTAAAATAAAATATAAATATATATTTATAAACAGATAGCATAAACTCATAGACATGTGTCTCACATACTTGATGAAATTATTAATTTCATAAAAAACCAAAAAGTTAGCCACTTAGTGGATGTGACGTAAGTTATATATAATATAATAATATAATAATATAATAAAATAATCCTATTATACATGTTATAATTTATAATTATATATTAAGTATATAAATATTTTTATTATAATTAATAATTAAACACATTGCAAAATAAAATAACAATATTATTATTCTTAGATAATATATCGATATAGGCTTAGATATATTAATTACTAAATACCAATGTAATCACAACAAATTATAACTTAAATTATTTAAAATTCAATAAATAGTTTAATTAATCCACAAATTATTTGATAATTACATCAACGATAACACTCGGCTTTCTTATCTCTAATCGTAAAAGTTTAAAATACAGTAACCAACAACCTCATGTGAACTTTGCCGCGGGGTCTTTTAATGCACGGGGCTCTGTGCCACGGCACAGCTCGCACTGATATTAAACCGGCCCTGTATGTAAAGGTTTTTATAAAAAAATATTAATGCGCAATTTTACTTTCCACATCCAAACATACACCATGTATTAGACGTTTTAATTTACGTTCAGGTAGAAACTGCATTAAATAAAAATAGTGTTAACAAAAATCAAGTCTGTACTTAATACTAAACACATAACTGATAACTGGAATGATTATGAAAAAAGAGACATAACATTAATTCAATATTAAAAAATTATGGGAATTCGAAATCAAGGAAATACAATATAATTATTATAATTATATAATATATTATTTAATTGATTTAACACGAGTATATAAGTACTCACGTATTTGATATAACTAGGTATATTATTATTTTGTATTTCAATACAAATTTGATTTGAAATAAGTTATTTTATTTATATATGTTTATATTTGTATAATATATACATTTACCGATATATATTTTATATACTTCTTTAACGAATGTATATACTTTTTTCATTTTAATGCCCAAACGTGACGATCTTGAAGTTAGCCCCACCAAGTTGTCCTATTGACTTTAAACCTACGCCAATATTTTCCAAATTAATTAAAAATAATTGTAATTTAGTTTTTACAATTTGCAACGAATAGCCGCAAATTCGATTTTTAGTTTCCACCATTATGCTCTAATATAAACTCGCGGCAGCCTGCAACTAGCCATCAACATAAAAGCACCGATATTAGAAAACATACTAATGTACCTAATCTATGGGCCAACTATATCAGAAATACTAAATACTAAATCAGTGGTTCTCAACCGGGGGAAATTCCCCACAAGGAGAAATTTAGATACTGCACGGAGGGGAATATAGTGATAATGAAATAACAAGATTTTTTTTGTTAATATAATTATGCCGTTTTACAATCAGTAAAATTGAAACCAATAAATTAATTTTAGTTGTACCTATTATGCACAATATGCATTATAGTTATTTTGTAAAATTTATTTATGTGGCTCACTAAAAAGAAAAAATTCGTTTAAACTCTAATAGTCTAATCTAATTCAAAGGAAAGGGATGTGCGAGATTTTTAAAAATGTACAAGTTGTACATCGAATATAAAATGTACCACTGTACTAAATAGAGGCGTAGCCAGAATTTCCTAATTCAGGGTACGTCTCCCCAGTCCCAATCAAAATAATTATTAAGGGGACGATAAAAAAAAAAATAGTAGAGGAACTTCGACCTCCTAATTCAAGCAAATATTATACACAAATTATACAAATTATACAGTATGACATAATATTATATACTAATATACTATGAGTACATTTAGGTACTAATATTTAGTTTAAATTTTATACCCTTACTTAATATAAATTGTATGTTTTAATATTTTCTATCCATTATTTATTCCAAATCTTTTTTTTTTTTACTCGTTGCACGTTGTACATTATTTTCTGTTTAATAATAAGAAAAGTAAACTATGTGTGTGTGTGTCATTGCCCCTCAAATTCTCTAACTTTTTAAAACCACCCGGGTCAAATAATCGTATTGACTTTTAGACTTTTCCAATTTATTATTTTTTATAATTCCTTTTTTTTTTAAAGAGTAAATATTTATTCAACCCCACAACTCAAATAAAATTTGTGCGTTCATTATTTTTCCGCGTACTGTTTATTTGCCTAATAAAATGATAGTCACTCGTGTTTTTCTTCATTTTAAAACTCGTGCCTACTATTAGTATTTGTGTTTATCTGATTTGTTTAATTTTATTTGATTGTTTAAAGAACTTTTTAGACATGGTGAATCAATTAGAAAATTCCTCCGAGTTCTTTTTCCGAGCGAATTCTGCTCGATCGTCACTTTTATTAGCTCATTCCTCATACAAACGTGTCCCGCTCATTGCAATCTGCTTTCTCTCATAACTCGTCTAATGTATACTCGTACTTGAATTATGTATGTAATAATATTCAATCAATAGTAATCGCTAACGTTTCTGGTGTTTAATTTCAGGCGAGGCAAAAAAAATAAATGATGCCGTCAACTATTTATTCCATCCGCAACAGAACACGATGGCGACAAGTTCACCACACCTATGAATTGGCCGAAAGAAAAACATAATAATCGCCGTATAGTAACATAAAAAAAAAAATTAAAAAACACTTGTATCAACCGAATGATATTATTTTATAATATAATCTATATGATATTATTATAAACACGTCTGGTTACACAATTTTCCTTGTTCATCATAATTTATTTACTCGTATATTCATTTTTTTTTTTTTTTTTATTATGTTATGACCAAAATTGTCGCTGTCAAGTACTAATAATATACCTATTGATTAATGATTATTATTATTATTATTCACTATACATTATACTAAATGTTATAATCGTATAATATAAATTATATTATAAGCATTACAATTCTTACATATTATTATTATTATTATTGTAAGTACTATATTATAATATACACGCTGAAATACATTTCTATACCTATATACTTATTTAACATACTCCATTTTTACTCAAATAGTATAGATATGGATAATATTATTATTACCTATGTAATATATTTAGATCGTTTGTATGTATACGATATTCTAATAGAATCTAATCGATGATTTTTACTTTTTTCTTGTATAAACCTATCAAGCATATTATATTATTATTTATATTAAACTTCATAAATGTGTAAAAAGAAATACACGAATAAAAATAAATCCTTTTTTTCCTATACCTTTGTACAATTTAAATCGACTTTAAAGTTTTTAAACATTTGATGACGAAACAATGACGATTTTTCGAGAACGAGGTTTTATAGCATAATTGCCGCCGCTAATTTTCAGTGAACCTTGACCCGAAGTGTGTAGTTCGAAATCGGGATTTTGTGCAGCAGTACGAATTTGAGTAAATATATAAATATATAAAAATATGTTGTAATAATGGACTCAAAATCGAAGAGCACGTATAATCTTAATAAAACAAATAGGTAGCTTCCTCGTTTTGGGAAGAATTTAAAACCTAAAATTTTATTTAGTAGATATACTAACAAAATGTTGGAATTTTCTGTAAAGTCATTATTGAATTAAAACAATACAAAGAGTACAAAGATGGAGTATAGAGATAAAATCCCCTCTCACGTTTCTGCATCAGCTCAATGTATAAACAAAAAATAGCGATAGAGTATCTCTATACTCTGATAGCCGATCGCGTCTCCTCCGCGGTCATTTTTTTTGTTTATCATAATAATTTAGTTTGTAACGCATTTTATATAATACAAATAATTATTTAAATAACATTCATTATAGTAACAAAAGTATTATTGTTGGTTTTTGGGCCGCAAAACTGATTATATAATATAATGGAAAACGTTTCATTAATCATCAGAATAATGCGCATACGTAAATTGTATAATTATAATTGTATTACTGCGGTTGTGTCGCATATTGTTCTCTAGTGGTTCGCTGTGTTGTTTGCATTCTATATACGATATACATTATATACTTATTTAATTAAACTGTTGTCATTTTTAAATATATGCAATAAAAACATATTTTCGAATGCTTAGTAGACATATTATACCTATAATATAGGTATAGTTGTGCACACTGTACAATAGGATAAAGGTTCCCCCCTCACACACGGCAGCGGTAGGCGGTTCGGCACCGATACGGTAAACAATATTTTTTATCGATTTATGTTAATTAGGTGTAAATATGGCTACATGTAAACTCCTACAAAAATTACCTTTTTACCTGTATTTAAAACATAGTGTAAACTCCTACATAGTCCCTGCCAAAAATAGACGGTGTGATCTCCTATACAGACCTTTTTACATTTTAGATTCTGAGTGTAGCGAAGAATGTATATTGGTTTTACAATGATGTTTATTTATTTATTAACTAGAAAATTAAATTGTTTTATAATATTTTCCTTTTGATTTTTGTAGGTAACTACTGACTATTTTGATGATGACTATTTTTATTTCTTTTAAAATACCTTATTTTACTTTGTATAACTATATAGAGTAAGAGTTAATACTATATCAATGTAGGAGATTACCTACATTTTTAGGAGTTTACCATCCACCGTCAATATGGGGTACTGGACGGTAAAATATTGTACCAGAACGTTTGTAGGTATGTCCTAGGATAATGAGGACGTGTGCAACCACCACTGATATAGGTAATTTTAATTTTAATGTATTTCTGAAAGCAACGATTAACCATTGTTAACGAAAAAACTGAGCGAAGTTCGATTGATAGTGTTGCTTTGTCAACAATATATATGTCATATTATGGTGAAATAATTACATATGCATTATATATTTTCTTTAATAATATTTGTTTAAAATTGTACCTATTTTCCTGTTTTTTCTCCGTTTCTACGTTTTTCTCATTTATTGAGAAAACTCTTGGGAAAATCAAAAAATTACCTCCTTAAGTACCTCCCCAGTCAGATTTCCTTTCAAAAAAAGTGCCATCATCGTAAATCTGAGCAAAATTTCTAGTTTAAAATTTGTTCACGGGATTGAAAATGGCCGTAATATTTTTTTACTAATACTATTGATTTTATGATTTAATAATTGTTAGTTAATAATAGTTATTTAATAATTAAATAACTAAAAGTCGTTGACTAACAACAATTATTGTAATTTGGCAGCTCCGTACGGCGTGAACACGCTCATAGTGGCGCATAATTTAGAAATTGGTTCTGTAGTCACACTGCTCAGCCGTGTTCGCCAGCACGATTTAAGATATACCGTAAAATGTCTTAAACCGTGGTCGCTAGCCATCTCTTCTCCCTTTACCTTCTTATGACGGGGTTAACACATCAGTTTCGAGCAGTTGCCCACAGCGCTTCTTTGCTGCGGACCAGCTATTAACTCTTGTCCACGATTAAAGACTATACCCAATGGGCTATTTCGTAAGCGATATCATATTACAATTGAAATTGCTCACAGGAACAACTGCTTAACTAACTGAGTACGCTCTCTATCCGTAAAAATAATATTATATTACAATATTTCATATTCACAAACATATTTTGTGAATTATGATAGCTAAATAATACATTACATATAGTACAAAAATATTCCACTGCCATCTACGAGCGCTAAAAAATTGTTTTATCATCGAGTAATAATGTACGAGTAAATAACTTATGTTGGGCAATCAGAATATCTTAAATTGTGCTGTTACTGGTTTCTTCCCCAGCACCGCTTATCTGTGTATCATAAAATCAATACTAATACCTACATTTCGTACAGTTTCCCGTTTTTCCCGGTTTTTCGTAATTATTAAATAAACTATACCGAAAATCAAACAATGGCTTATTTACTCACAAACTATACAGCACAAACTATTTATTTAAGTAAATATGCTATTTTTGAAATGTGGACAAAGATTTCTGGTATGATCTTAAACATTTTAAATAATGAAATCGTTGAGCAGTAATTTAAAAAAAACAATTTCATTTTTTTGGTTTTTCCAAATTATTATTATGAAAACTACTTTAAATATCGAAAAATGACTTTATCTGTCGGCGGCTGAATATTGAATAGAATAAAATCGATCTCTTGTCATTTTTCAATTGGAGCAAGATTTCTGGTAGAAAACATTGTTTACAAAAATTAAAATAATTAAACCGGGATTCTAAATCTCCGTAAATATTAATAACAATCAATTTTACCAAAACGGTAAAATTCGTACGTGCAACGTTTTAAAAATACCTAATACGTCCTAAAAAAATGGGACCACATCCAGGCGGGTAGACGGGGGTAGCCACTGTTATAGGTAATTTAATGTATATTTGAAAACAACGAGTTTTTTTTTTTGATTATATATTTGATCAGAAAACTCTTGAGAAAATCGGAAATTTCTTCCATAAAGTACCATCCTACACTGATTTCCTTTCAGAAAAGTCGCTACACTTAAAAATCGGAGCAAGATTTTTGGTAGAGAAGTCGCGTAGACAAAAGAAATAAAATAAAAATCTTTGTATAACCATAAACTTATTCGCTCCATTCAGAATCTAAAACCTATTATATTAAATTAAAATTAGTATACGTACCTACCTACATGAAAAGAACATAAAAATAAAAAAACATACAGAATTATAATCTATTTGAATAGACGACGATAACTGATGTCGGTTTTCTATACATATTTTTATTGTTAGAGTTTACCGACATCTCGATTCCGATAATATCCGAATAATATCTATCCAGTATGTTTTTACAATAATACACTTCAGTAACACCCATCCAATAAGATAAACATTAAACCAACATTTCATTGTGTTATATTATTGTCATTGTGTTGATATAGAACGCAGTTATTCAGACATTTAGAGTTTGTGTATAGTAATATGTAATAATAATAATGTATGGATTATTATTATATATTTCTTTTTATTATTATTATTATTATATATATATATATATATATATATATTTTTTTACGTTCTAACGGCGGCGTCCATTTGTCCTAGACCCGAACCTTAATACTATAGCCTATAGGTATACACACGAAATATTACTGGCGGGGATTTATTGCCTGTTGTGGTCCAGAATTAGTGTTTACCTAATGCTCACAGTATAATATCATATAATATTAGGCATTTTATATTTTTTTAATTCTATAGGTTTTTGAGACTACGGTGTAAATTTTATAACATACCGAAAGGATTTTGCATTCCTCGCAGAACCATCTTCTCCGTCACACGGAAACATATTGTAACATTGTACATTCCTATATGGGCGTATGGCATCATTATTTGGGGCTCTGCTAAGAATTCAAATTTAAGAACTATACAAGCTTTCCAAAATATCTGTCTACGTGCAATCACTGACGCACCCTGATTCGTCTCAAACGTGAGCCCCTAAACTCCGGCCTCAAATTACCTTTTATCAACGAAACCACTGCTCTCTACTACAAACGCTTTCACGCCAAAGTGCAAAGTAATACCAACCAACTTATCAACGAGTTAGCATCACTCACACTTCCCAGTAACCCAACTAGACACCTCAAAAGGAACTGCTGCCACGACTTATTAACTTAAGGTTTTAATACGTAATAATAGTATTTAGAGGTGTCACAAATTTATGGTTTCCTCCTCGTGAGTATAACTTTATAAACTTGTCAACTGTCAATTATACAAACTGTAGAGATTGTAATTTTTCAAAATAAAGCTATTTTCTTAGAAAAAAAAAAACATACATTACAGTATTGTAAAGATGTGTGTGTGTGTGTGTGTGTGTATAATTTTTATCTTATAGAAGAACTGCGTAACATTTTCCACGCCAGGTATTATATTATACGAGTAAAAAATCTACATAGGTCGTCGGTAAAACATATTCACACTTTTCATAACTTATATGCCATTGTATGTAGGACGGAAACTATGACAGCAGTTGTTCTTTGTTAATGGAAAGGAATATAATATGTGTACAAACGTACATAATATAATGTATGCCTACAAAGAGAGAGATATTTGCGATCGTTCTGGTGATATAGATTGAAGTGGTTGAGAATAGAATGGTGTTCCTTATAAGATCGTATATCTTTTTCGTATTTACCACGTAGGTATCTACTCGTATAATTTTTTATGGGTCAGATGTTTCCTCGACAACAGTTACATTATAATATCAAAAATTCAAGTTCAGAGTTTTTATTTTTTACATTTTACTGGCGTACATTTGTACTATTATTATTATATAAACATATATGTGTACAACCTATAATCTTTTTTTTACATACAATAAGTACATTTAAATAATGCAAATAAAATAATATAAAACCACAAAGAACGTTCAAAAGGAGGCCGAATGGTGTATGCCTAGAATAACCCTATCACCCTCTCAGTACTCTTATAAGATTAAACTCAACTTTTTTTTTTTTGTTAACACTAAGTTAAACTTAAAATAAATCTCGTTTTATATTATCAGGTATTTCTGTAATTCAGAATATTTATTTATTATCTAAAATTAATAAAAATATGAATAAATATAAACGAATATTTATCAGTTTCATACTTTTAAGAAACAAAACACAAGTATTTCTGTAATATTTTACTTGTAACTAAAACAATATTATGTTTATATATGTAAATATTGATTAGTATTTTTATAAAAGGTGTATATTTTTTTTACAAGTAAACATGTCTCAAGTAAACTTTAAAAATAGTATATGTGTATGTATACGTGTATTAGTTTATGCAAACTAGTGAAGATGAAACTAATATTTAGTGTCTTAGTGGTGAGCCGATATTACTTTTTTCTTATATCCGATAATCGATATTCCGATATTTTCTAGGTACTGATATAAAACGGATTCCCGATCAAATATTCAAAATTATAAAACCATTAGTTGATATTGAAATTAATTGATATATCAAATGAAAACCCGATTTTTCTTAAAATGCTTATTTTCATATTACAAAAAAATTATTGATCAGGGATGGTAAATCCGTGGTACGCGTGTCTAAGATGGTATTATAAAAAATATCAGAGGCACACGAAAAATTAAAACATCATATTATATTATATTTTTAATAATTAATAGCAAGACCACAATGTAAACACTTTTTCGTTATCGTTTATTTATCAATTAATTAAAAACGTATAGATAAAATACTATTACACTAAATGTAAAATGAAACTATTAAGTCAGACTATTATAAACTCTAAAATAAATGCTACTATATGATTGTGTATTTATAGATAAAATTGAATAATCGTTATCGACTGTTAAAGTGGCCGTGCCGTTAGTATGAATACGTCTGTCGATTTGTAAGTACGCGTTTCGTGGATTTGTGATCGTTGTAATTGTTTTTATTTTACAAACAGATTATTCAATATGTCTGTACACAAAATTAAAAAAAATAGTGAACTAAATATTAATAGTTGTAGTAGCAGAGAATTTCAAAATCCATTGACTAAAGTTTATGGTATGGTTAAAAAACATGATACAGCATTATGTATTTTATGTTTGACAACAAAAGTATGCAGAACACCATTTGTTAAACGACAATATGAAACTAATCATAATTTACTTTTCAAAAACCGAACTGGCGAGAATACAGATATTTCTGGTTTAACTCGACTGTCTACATATATTATGTTGTCGGTAATGAAATTAAGGAAGAATAAGTTAAATAAGCGGCATTACAAGAATCGACAAAAAGTATTTTCAAAGCAGTTGTAGGTACTCTTTTACAGCCAGATATGGATTTTTCAAAGATCGGATTATGTTACTGATAGCGCACCTAGCACGATTGGCAAAGGATCACGGTTCGTACATTTATTTACTTAATATGTGGGACATCCATTACTAGGTTTTTACTATATTATATACCAGAAGACACTGTGTGCGAAAAATTCTTTCAAATAATTTGAAGCTATGATACAATTCGTTTTTAAAATGGTGAATGGCACGTGGCTTGAATAAGAGAAAATTGAAAAGTCTAATAACAAAAGTAAATTCAGTGTATAGAGGTTTAGTTATAAATTATAAATACTGTTAATAATATATAAAGTCTTTCCGAAAATATCGGTTTTTAAAAACCCGATATTCGATATTCGATATTTCCCACTACTAATATAATTAGTTTGCTTATTAGGATTTGTAAAACGCTACGATTATAAACCTGTGCAAGTATAAATTTTTTTGTTTCAGTAAGTAATAATAATAAACTTGTATTATTTATACGCTTATGAAACACAGCCTAATCATGCATAGGATTTTTAATACAGACCCCACCCTTTCTTAATTAAAAACGGACCAGGACACCAGAGTTAAATAGCGGTGTTGTCAGTAATAAACTAGTATTATATGAACTAGGGTTCGATTAGGAAATCTATTGTTAAATAGTGCCATTATTGTTAGTGTTTAATCATAGTCTATTGTCATTACAATATTATTTATTCAACTAACAAACATATAAATGTGGGATGAATTATTTTATCGAAAACTACGGAACGGGTTTTGATGTGGTTTTATATTTTACTATTTTAATTTGCAATTTTCGGGTAATTAAACATAAACCTTATTATTTACACGAGTGTCCCACCGTATTTGACGTGTTTGAAACTGAAAAGGTGGTATATAGAAAGGAATTTAATGTATATCTGTAAGCAGCGATAAACCATTGCTTACGAAAAAACGATTCTAAGCGGAGTTTAGTTGATAGTGATACTTTGTCAACAATATATATATATGTCATTTTGTAGTAAAAAAATTAAATAGGCTTTATATATTTTCTTTAATAAAATTTGTTTAATGTTGTACCAGTTTCCCAGTTTTCCTACGTTTTTCCCGGTTTTTTCGTGTTTTATCCCTGGTTTTCATATATGCTGGAAAAACTACTAGGAAAATCAAACACTGACCTCTCTAAAGTACCTTCCTAGTATAATTACCTTTTAGAAACATTGCTATCATTAAAAGTTAGAGCAAAATTACTGGTTGAAAAGTTGTGCACAGAAAAAAGGCCGTAATATATTTTAACTAATACATACATTTTTTATATATTTTCCCGTTTTTTTTGCTTTTTCAAATTTGATGAGATAACTCTTGAAAAAATCGAAAAATGATCTTTTTAAAGTATCTCCATAGTAGGATTTCTTTTTGCTTCCATTATAAATTGGAGCAAAATTGTTGGTTGGAAAGTTGTACACAGAAAAAAAAAATCGTTATATTTTAGTAGTATATTTCGTACATATTTTGTTTTTATTATACCTATACTAGATAAAATAATATAAATATTTGGATGAGAAAGTCCACTAATAAATATTTCAGATTTTTTTGATGTAGACAACTTTTCTTTTCAAAATCTTTATAATAATATATACTTCACCAAAAACAATATCAACAAATTAATTGAATAAATATTCTAATTATACAATGGAATAAGAGAAAAAAAATAGTTACCTATATACTTAAATAAATCGTTAAAAATTAAGCATATAACATAACATACAGTTTAATTTATTTATTTATTATTTTGCATGAATTATTATTTATTAATAGGTTTATACCATTAGCCTTATTAGTAGAAGTATAAGAATGAAATGCTTTATATCCATTTATTATTACATTTAAATCCATATCAGGCCAAGTTTCACCGAGTATTAAACTATCAAACCGATCTTCTATGGTACTTTATACAAGTAATAAATACATTAATATTTTTCTTAAAACCACAAATATTCAATGAAAATATTGATATAGATACATTTTTAAAATCAACAGTTCAAATATCTTCAATTATGTTTATATTAGTAGTATTCACAGAACATATATTGTGAATCAAATAATTAAAGATTAAATCCATTAAGTGATATATAATATAATAAGGTGAACAAAAAACTAAAACATCATACCTACATATAATACAAAGTTTTGTAGCACCTTAATCCAATTATTGAGTACCTTTTCTGAAGGAAATTTTCTTTGGGTGGTACTTTAAGGGGGTCATTTTTTGGTTTTCTGAGTAGTTTTCACTATGATTGGAAAAACCGTAGGAAAAATAGAAAATTTTTTACACCTAACAATTTCATGGTTTTAAATTTTTGTATCTTACGTTCTCCACTAGAAATCTTGCTTCAATAAAAAAAAGACAAGAGAGCTTTTTTTATTCATCTAAAATATATTAAAATATAAATAATTATTTTTAGATTGTTTTGTACTATTATAAATACATAAAATGTTATAAATTCATAAATATAAGAAATAAATACCACATTGAAAAATATTATTTTTTTGGGATGCATCAAATCTGAATTGATATCAGACTTCATAATATCTGGTCCATCATCTTGTAGATTATCTTCCACTACTTTACGTTCTAAAATTTTTTCTTTTAACTTGTCATCAATTAGAACTATATTATTATATAGAATTATAATATTGTTTATAAATATTTATACAGGTAGGTACAATTTAAATTAATTTGAAAAATACAACTTACCATCAGAACAGTCAGAAAAATGTATAGAATTCGAATTTATAAAATCTTCTAATTGATTATCAGACGGAACTTGTATTACAATTGGTGAATTTTGTGTTTGCTAAAAAAAAAAAAAATTAGTAATAATGTTAAATAATAACTGTTTAAATTTCAAAATAATAAAAAAAAATTATCATGTGGAATATTCAACAGATATAAGGTAATAAAAAAGTAAAAACTTAAAGTAGAAGATGTTCCAGGATTAAATAATAATTCTACTGGTATAGATAATAGATCGTCATAGGTAGTTTCGGATTTTTGATACATGCCTATGTATTTTAACAAATTGTTTTAATTAATTTAACACAAACAGAAATACATAAGTGACTTAAAAAAATAAATATTTTTTAACCTTGTTTCACATTTGTGGGATTTACTGGAATTGGTATATTACAAGTATATTGTTTATGTTTTGGTACATGGTTTGGTTTATATATGCATTTTTTCTTCTTTACGAGTGAGTTGTTATATTCAGTCTGTGTACTTTTGTCTTTATGTGTTTTTCTTTTGGGAAATGAGCTAGGTAAATTTTGTTCGTGAGAACTTCTTGATAATAATTTCGCACTTCTTAGAGCTGCAACATAATTATCTATAATAGTAATAATTTATTATTATTGTTATTAGTAACTAATACAAATTATATAGGTGATGCAATTTTTTTAATTTTAAATTGCTTAGCAAAATAAAATATTTCAACTCTATGAATAATATACCAAAAGTTGATATTATATTTGCATCTATAAATTGTCCTTCAGATGGTCTAGGAATATCTTGTGCTTTTATTATCTTTTGTACTTGTTGAATGGATAACTATTTATGATTTTGTGAAAACGTGTTTGATACAGTGTTAGGCTACTGATACTGATCATTCTTTTGGTCAGAGTTGGACATTGTACACTATGATGACGGAACATATTCAATGTCTTGACTATACAATAAAACTACTCCCGACCGCATTTTACTGTCAATAGTCTGAAACTAATACACATTTCATGAGTCGCGATATTAACTTAATTTAATAATGCCTATTGAACGTGTAAAAAAAAAAAAACATTTAATAATAATTACAGCATTTTCCAAATGAGGAAAGTGTGTAGTATTTAGTATAAAATATTATAAATCCTTCTTTTTAAAAAATATGTGCGGGAAAGCAAATAAATTGTCCACAAATGTCTTTGATATTTTAATTCATCAATGGCCCAACTCCAAGGCATAATGAACTAGAGAAATAAAATATTAGAATAGCTGATATTCAAGATATTATCTTCTTACTAATAATATTTCACCAGATATTTTGAATGTAGCAATATTTTTGATTTGCATACAACGTTATCATATTTAACGGAACTATATGTTACGGTAAAAGTACGAATACCGATAAAACCTAGGATTTACCGGTAAATCCTAGGTTTTACCAACTGTGGTCGGTAAATTTCCGAAATTGTTTACCAATTTATGTGATATTTTGGTTTATTTTCGTATTTTATTCGTATATTATTATTAGGTACATTAGGTAAACAGGTACACACATGTATGCGTTATTATAAATTATTATATATTGTGACAACAAATGTATATTATTATTATATATTATTGATTTGTGCAGGCTTAGCTACTGTGACATCTTGAATTGCACAAATGCATAATACATTTTTAGATCGGCACTTATATCGATTTGTGATACATTTTTTCAAACAGTTGCACCTTATCAAATAATATACTTTTACTTTGAATTAAGTAATATTAATTGCATTTTGTAGTTTGTACAATAAAAATACTTTTCAAAATATATATTTAAACAACAATTTATTTGTATTCAAATATTCGAATATTTAAAAATTAAATTTACTTTCGTTATTTAATATTTACTTTATAATTATAACGTGCAATAAGTTTAACGTGCCATATAGATATTTAGGAATTATTTTCTTATGAAAAGTATAATTTAATTTTTAAATGTTTTAAAACGCAATTATTACATTAAACGAAGAATAAACGTCAACACAAGATAGGATGCGATACATCGCACGGTATTATATTTTTATTGTTATCCGAAAATTGGTTACCTATAGGTAGATATAAGTACCTAGGTATTAAAATATCAATATCCCATGATAGAAAACAAATTTGAAAAACATCAATAATTCATAGTATAAACACTATAAACTACCCGTATTCTAGATAATATGTGGGTACTTACCTAAACAAAACTAAATTCTATACTCGTATTTTGTGTACACAATGTACCTACGGTTTAGGTACTTTCGTTGTCATACATCTATTATTGCGTTTTGCGATTCTCCGTACCTACATCGTCCTACATCATACTTCTTGGTCTCTAAACGACTACACTCAACGAACACTGGCGACGATATCATCTTAATATCGAAATGTGTAATACATTAAACATATTATTACGATTCCCCGTAGTACGCAAGTATGGAAATCCGCTGACAGTGTATTTTCAGACATGATTTTCGTTTGAAATCTCGATTTGTTTTGCGTTAATATTGTATCCGTACACCTCCAGGCTATGTACAAAGGCTACACCGCACAAAGAAACAAGGTGAATTATCAAATAGCGAATAGTGTCGGTGACGGAGGCGGCGAGACGAGTTTATGATATTTTATCGGTGGAGGCGTGCAAAAGGCACGCGCACAATTTGAAGTATATAGATACCTATATCAGCAAACCCGTCGTCTTTCCGACCGTTGCACGTCACTGACGTTATAATATTGTTAAAGTTAATTTAATCTTCTATAATAACAAGAACATATGTTCGACTTTTCGGATGTGTGCGAGGGATCCTCTGCTGGATCTGTCGTGCACAGAAGTATGCAATTTGCATAGGGAAGCCAATAAATCCGTTTGCACCTCAAAACCGAATTTTCGAATTTCCACCCTTAAAGGTGGCTCACACAATATTATGATATGGTTAATGAATTTTGTTTTGTTGATTTTGTGTTATCTCGGAACCGCGGATGAAATAAAAAAACAAAAAAAAATTACTTGGTAGGTAATTAATTTGATACATATATACCTACACACATGCAGACAATGGTAGTGCCAATAATACATGATTTATGGTTGAAACTGAACTTAAATTAAAATCAATAAAAAAATTTTCGTAACTGTCTTCAAAAATAATTAATACAATTGATTGAATAGGTACATGTAGATACCTACATAAGCAATTCATGAACCGCTTCCAAAGTAAACTTTTAAAGTGATTAAAATAAATGACAAATTCAAATGACCGCTTTCACATTTTTTTACCTTAATATTATCAATTATAAATATTTTTGAACACATGAGCACCAAAATCACATTTTTAATCATATCGGAGAAGTTGAAATATTCATAGAGACTTGAAATTTGAACTGAAAACTTATATTTGCCTTTTCTAGACATGATAAAATTTTCAAAATATTTATGAGCTATTTATAGACATTTTAATTTTGTAAATTATGTATGTAAGTTTTATTCGGTGGGTACTAATATAATACTACTATCTTTAGATAAATTATTAGATAAAACAGAAATGCTTGAAAATTTAGCAGGATGTTCATTCAAAGTCGTACTTTGTGATCAAAAATGTATTGTTATTAAATTAGTATTTTTTTTATAAAAGAATTCTAATATATATTTCATAAAAATTTAAAAAAATTATGTGGAACAAATTTAATTACTGGTTTATACAAATTTCTCAATTTTCTTTGAACACATGTATACCATATATGGGCATATGGCCGATTTAAAAACGTAGGTGAAGTCATAATTGAGCAAACCTATTTAGTTTAGAAATTATAGCTTTTTGAAGTTCTGATATTATATGGATATTATAGGTGGTATGTTAAATAATTTAATGTTTATATCTGTCGAAGTATAGGGGTGGTACGTACCTTTTGTCATCTCAGAGATCGCAAGTTCAAACCCGGGTACCAAAAAATTAGTTTGCAAAACCACGCCGGGTAGGCAGTAGGGAAAAAACTAATGCATTTTGGGTGCACTTAGAGACCCAAACCGTCGTTCGCTACGCTTGCTCGGACTATTTTAATTGAAAAATACTCCTCGGTTTGTTGTGTAAATGAAAAATGTCCCCCTTCCCGAAAAAACGTCCGCTATTCAGAGGTGTCCATTAAGGGAGGTATACATACTTACAGTATATATTTATTTTACTATCATATGACATATAATATTATATTGTTAAAAAATGATTAATCTTTGTTTACAAATATGTGCATTAAATTCCCACTCCTATTTATTTTATATTCCCAACTTCTCATCTACAACAGTTGTCCACCCATCGTGTGAAGTATGTCCGTCTTTTTTTTTTTTTGATTTATAATTTTCATCGTTTTCTTGGTTATCTTTTCTGCTCAGAATCATTTATTCATTATCAATGATTTATTGTTGCATACAAAATAATACATAAAGTGTATAAACTCTAAATTATACTAGATATATTCTGTCTGTCCAAATATCCGCTTACACATCACCATGGGGCAAAGTATGACGTTTCGTCTCGTTACCGGGCAGGGGCACCTATGCGTAAAAATAAACACTGGCGAATTGAAATGAAAATTTAAAAAAAAAAAATTTCTTCGGCGGCGGCGGCGTTGACAACCCGAATCGAATGCAGCAAATGATTATGCAAATTCTAACAATTTATGTATACGAGTTGGCGCGTATAACTCGACGGGGGAATAATAATAAAATAAAAAATACATTATACTGGGTATTTTATCCAACATTACAGGAGGGCGGGGACGGTCGGTATTATTTCTTTATTGACGTATTCCCAATTCTGTGCGGGGAAGCAACACACAATATTTACTCTATTGATTGTTATTTATACTCCCGGTAGAACTATATTACAGTACATACATATTTATTATATTCGCACTCACAAATATAGTAAATTAATTTGTTTCGCCTGCTGCAGTAGGCACCCATTTCCACTGCGGATGTAATATCGCGTACAGTATAATAATACAATAATTACGTATACACAAAGTGGCGGTGATAATAATAATATGTACTATATATTAACGTCTGCCCGCAGGAAGTTTTCCTTCCGACCGGATAATACCTATCTATAATAAAATATTTCAAATTGTTTACTATTGTAAAGATATTTATTGATATTGTACAAGTATACATACAGGGTGATATACTTAGCGTGTTTATCTCGCTTTTCGGTTAAATTTTGCATATGTTCAAATTTTGATTTATGCAATTTTTAAGTGTAGTTAAAGCCGATATTTTCGGATACTTTGATTTTTCACAACATTTAAGAAGTATCCTGTGGCGGTTTACCAACTTCGGTTTTTCAAATGAGAGCCTATACTAAAAATCCCATAAATAGACGGAATATTACTTTAAATAAATTTGTGTGCCAACATTATCAATTTCCGTCAACCCGTTGACGATAGATTTCACTTTTCAGTTTAGGGAGGGGGAGAATAGTGGAGCACTAATAAAACGCCGTGAAAAATCTAAATATTCAAAAATATCGGCTTTAATTACACTTGAAAATTTCAAAAACCAGAATTTGAATGTATGCAAAATTCAACAAAAAAAAAAAATGGGGTGAGCACGCTTAGTAAATCAACTTGTATACATGCACATTGATGGATAACTATTATACTAAACCTTTCACTGCTGAATTTATTTTTTCAGTGCAGATTTCTCTGTTGGTGAAAAATTTTATTTTTGTGTTACATATAGTTATGGTTCAAGAATTAATTTTTAATTTTTTTTTTCGTTTTAGTTAATATTTTAGGAGATATTCGATATTCAAGTTAGCGATCGGTACCTATTTAAAATAGTCGATAACTTTATATCGGTAGAAATGTGACTTATATTATATTTTTCAGTACACAAAATTATAGGAAATTATAGGAAATTAAATAAAATTATAGGAATCATATATGTGTTTTATATAACAGTTAAATGGTTAAACAAAAAGACGGATATAGTTAGCATATGGGTGGGCCACTGTTGTAGGTGGGAAGTTGGCAAAGTATTATACAAATGAGAATTGAATGTATACCTGTATGCAACGACAAACTATTGATAACGGAAAGGGATTCGGAGCGAAGTTCGGTTATTCGTGTTTTAAAAGGTCGTAATATTTACGATTTTCGTCAAAATTTATTTTAACAAAATACATGATGCACAATTTTTTACCACTTATAATGAACCTCCTATCATATTCTCAACGTGTAGTTATTACATTACACGAATAGTTTTATAATATAAAATTAGTAGAAAATACAAGCCGTGAATATTTAAAATAATGAAATCGTGCTGTAATTTGAAAAAATTCGTATATTTCTTCTTTTTTGGTTCTTCCCAATTATTATGAAAAATACTTTAGATATCAAAAAACGAATTTCTTTGTAATTGACTAATAGGAACGAAACCGATCTCTTGTCATTTTTCGATTGGAAAAATATTTCTGGTATAAAACATTAGATGCAAAAATAAAAACAATGAAATCAGTAACGCCATACATATTTGCTGGTTTACCTATACTTATAATTTTCTTTCGGATTTTATCCAATTATTACGAAAACCCAGTGGAAAATCAAAAAATGATTCATTAATTCACTAACTAAACAAAACTTCCTTTCAAAAAAGCTACATCCGAACAACATTTATTTTCAAAAAGTTATTTACAGACAGAAAAAAAATTAGTACAAAAACACACATAATAAACCAATAGATCCCTAGCTGCGCTCCGAAAATTCACTATTCCATAATATATTACAAATATTCTACTACCCATTCTATTATATTTTTTATGCTCTATTTATGTCTTCTGATATTGATCAAATTTAATTTAATTTAAAAAAAAAAATGTGCTTATCGATGCTAAATGCACGAAATCGGTGCTATCTATAATAATATTACCTAACCTTTAGTTTAATTTTCATATTTATCTATGTGATTATCGCTAAATTATTGTGATAAAACTACAAAAAAACATTTTTGGAAAATGTATTACAAAATGATTATATTATTTTGATCATTTTCTGCAATTATCTGCATCTATATAGATAGGTACTTTAAATGTGTTAAAAAAAATTCATTGAGTGCATTTGCATCACGTAAACGTCACTGTACGTAGGTTGTAGGTACCTACATTTTATCTTTATAACTTGGAATGAAAACATAATATCTATGTATTATAATGACAAAATTTAAATAAAGTTAAATATAACGATCAATTTTAAACTGTCGATTAAAAGTACGCGGTTCTGAACGATCGACCATTTAGGAATATCTACCTAGTAGGTACCTACTAAACAATAGGAACAAGTGTGTAGAATATGTTCTTCGAATAACAGTTCGAATATGGAAAATGTGCGATTTTGAACGACGATTGTCTGAGTGGAATCTAAGAAAGTCTGTGTATACCTAAGGGTAGGTAGGTAATCCAATTTTTTTTCATTATTTGTCCATAATACATAGGCACATACTGAATAAATAGAATAAACGTACAACGTACAGCTCATGATAAAATATTATTTTATATACCTATATATTACATTTTATTTTTTAAATATTACTTCATCATGATACAGCTGTGGTTTTTTGTTACACGGACCATCGCCCGATACCTATCTGTTCAGCACCGTTCTACATGCAGATGTCGACAGCTGTTTCAGTACCTGATGGGTGAAAATAATATATGTTATTATTATTATTATTATTCTACGACGACGACGACGACGACGACGACGACGACGCGGCGAATGGCGACCGACATGAAGGTGGTATCGTTATCGGCGACAGACATCTCAGCTCCGTCATTGATTGTGTTAACAATGTTAACACACACAATCCTCTCCTCGTCAATTATATAGTACCTACGACATGCCTATTGACAATTGATTTTTTAAATTATTGTTATTACAGCTGCAGTTATACGTCTATTACATTAATATTAGAGTCTATAATCTTTTCTCGTACGAGCTATTCAAGATCAGTGCACAGTGTTCCGTATCCTGCAGTGCACCGAGTCCGAGTCCGTTGTGTGCCACCTTTGTACACTTGTCCACAACCGCTCAGAGCTCTGTCCGCCGCCGACTCTTCCGGATGTGCCATTTGTATCTTCTCAATTAGCAATCATGTTCTTGCGCGGATCCGGGTACATCACACGCCCAATCGTTGTCACCAGCCATATTCCGGCTATAGTTGGCCACCGACAAAACTACAGTTGCATCGACAGCGCTAAGGTAAAATAATATCATCAGCTCTAAGACTGTTATCGGATGAATTTTTCGTTTTAATTAGTATTAATACTACCTAGACAATGTAAAACAATTGATTATAATTTTGTAAAATTGTCATTATTTTTTTTTTTTTATACACATTCTTCACCTATATGACACCTTAGGCAATGTCGTTGACCTTATATTTCTGTTTATTGTCAATACACATGCCTACTACTTTTACATTATGTTTAATTCTGATACACATTTCAATATTGGCTCAGTTAGGCAGTAGTAATTCACCTTCCATTAAATTCTATAGTTTTCAACGAATTTACTTTTGTTTGTAACCTATCTACCTATAATTTGCCATAAAATTTTAGTTCTTTGATATAATCCTGATACTTTGTACTCTCTTATTTTGTACACCAATTCGAATAGAAACACAATAGGTAAAATAAATTAAATAGACAAAGAAAATTGTAATACTTTTATTTTTACGGTTATTGTTATGAATAAAAGAAGAATACAGTTAAAGACCCTTGTTTAAAATCCAGTAATGAATTTCATAACATCAGTTCATAACTTTCATTCAATTTCGAAGGTATTAAGATAAATGCAGTTGAGAGTATTGTTTATATCTGATTGACTAAAGAAGTTAAAACTTATAGTATGGCTAACTGAAGTGATAAAAATAAATATTACCTTGCTAAATAAAATGTGTTTAAATTCCTTTTATCAAATTGTGTTATGTTTATACAAAATATTTCATTTCATTTTTTGTTAGGACTATAAGTACTGTGTATTGCTGTCACTTTCTTTTATGCTCTTCTTTTGTTTACACTTTGAATTTCTACATTTTGTTGACAATTCAGGAACTCCTGAAACTTTGTCATATAAACTTGTACAATTACTTTCATCAGTTCTTAACTTAATTAATGAATATTTTAAAGCATTTAACAATTTTATAGTAGTTAGAAGATAAGAATTTGGTAATTGCAAACAATATATTTTACTTTAACACTTAAGTGTATCAGCCAAATATTTATGTTTTTGATTATTTCTAAAATGTGTTATTGTCTATGATAAACATAATATGGCTGCAGCTCACAAGTGGTGCACGTTCATACCTTGTGCTACAATGCCTATGCTAATCATACTTAAATGTCTGCTAATAATATAGATACTTGTTTGTAAAAATAACAATACACTTATTAGTAAATACACAATACACATTATAGTATAGCTTCTTGAAAAAATATAATTAATAAAAAAAATACACATAAATTATCTATACTATATTAATTATGTGGCATAATTAATATAGGATAGATTTTTAAAAACATTTAATTAGGTACACATGTATGGAGTCTAGGTTACTAATCCCAAGTTTGATGTCAAATGAATCACAAAGACCTGGCTATACTACGTGGAAGTGATCTATCATTACACCTCATAATAATAATAAAAAAGTCTAGATACCTACATAATATGTTGAAAGACCGAAATAACATATTATTATTTTGAATTTAGAAGCAAATATAGTTTATTGCATTTAAAAGCAAAGTTGAGCATTAAATAATAAAGAAGACTAGTATTTTAAAAAAAAATTGAGTGTTAAATTTTAAGTTAAAGTAAATTAACTTTTAACTTTTTTCATTTACCCATGCCAACTTAACTAAGCTGAGTTTAAAAAAATTATTGACCATTATTGCCATTAAAAGTATAGGTTTTTTTCCTATAGGTCCTCATAAAAAAAAGCTGTTTACCTCAAAATTACTACTCCACAACTAAAAAAAAAAAATAACACATCACTTACTTATATGAAAACCAATATTTTCTTTGCTTTCTTCTAAAATATAACATATTTATTTCAAATCATATTATTCATAGAAAAAAAAAACAAAATTAATTTTGGAACAAAAATTCCTTACTTATCCAAAATAATTTGCAGAAAGGTGTTGTTTGTGGTGTTTATGTTGACAATTCTGGAGATAATTTGAAATTTACATCTACTGCTAATCAAATAAATCAAGAAAGCGGTGGGGTACTTGAAAATGCGTTAAAAATGTAAGTATCTACTTAACATAAATAAATGTATTTAATGTAACTATATATTATAATGAAAATGATTTAAAAAGAAATTCTGTAGGTACCTATTTTTATTTATTCTTTTGGTAGGTATTTATTTCAGTTTCATTTATTAGATATAATATTACATTGTAATCATATTACTTGTTAATATTGTTAATCTATAATAATCAAGATAATAATATAGTCTATTCAAAATAAGACTGAACTGTTCAGTAAGTTAAGATTATCTAGTGAACCTTAGGTACTAGTTCTGTGATTAGTTGTCAAGTCTTGACATAAACTGATAATTATGACCATTGGTCCCACTGCTATTATTGTGCTCAAAAAAGAGCAAACATAATCAGTGAGAGCAGTCTAATGGTAGAAATGTGTGAACTGAACAATTCAATCTTTTTTAGAATATAATTTAGTTATTGTATAATTACATTAGATAAATTAATATTTCCTCATTGGTTTTATCACTATTTAAAATTGGTTTAGACTTTAACCCAGGGTCACTTATGTGTTTTATTTTATGCAATTGCTCGTGTGTTAGATTTTTTCTAACAATTTATTAATTTATATAATTTCATGAAAATATGAATTCCAAAATAAGTTTTATATAATTTAATTTTATAAATATTAATGATATTATATGGATCATAATCATGTAGATAAAGTATTAATATGATTAATTATTGTTCAATCAATAATAGTTATTCTTAAAATAAGTTAAATATTAGATTTTTTTTAGAAGTATCTTCTATCTACTCAACCATAAACGCCAACATTCAACACCCACCCTTTTTTCGCATTTGCATCAATCTTATCCCATTCATGCTACCACTGGTTATAATACATCCTATATTATATTATATTATTTTACTGTATATTTAATTTCGTTTTCATTTATTCACATTTTAAAGAAGGCATCTATTTAAAAAAAACTGAAAAACCGCCAGCGGTAGTGGTAAAATTTGGTCATGCAGTGACACAATATTTTATCCTAGCCATTTTTCCCCTGCAGTATGTGGATTTCGATAAGAATACATGAGTTTTATTAAATCACCACCGAGTGTGAGCACCTTTATTTGTGTTAAAATAAATATGTATTTTATTTTCTGTCATACAAATTTAATTATCTATCCTTATTTTAACTAATATCCACTAATAATTAACTTGTATATAAAAAATACAAAAAAAATGATCTATTATTTTATGTTTTATTTACTAATTTATATTATTTATTATTAAAATAGACAAAACTAGAAGTTCTTATTATATTATGAAAAGTTCTAAAATAAAAAGTGTGATATATTAAATCTAGATGCCTGTATACTGTTCACACACAAACACCATATTTTTCAGGAGGTCCTGACTTCCAATGTAGTATGATAAGTCCCTGTAGCTCTTTAATTGTATTAATTCGTATATTTATATTATAAAAGGGGAGGCCAACTGACTAATCTATCAATGCACAGTTCAAACAACTGAACAGATCAAGCTGAAATTTTGCATATAGATAGCTATTATGAAGTAGGCATCCACTAAAAAAAATTTTGGTTTATGATAAATGATAATAATCGCTGAAATGTCTAAATGCTTCCCAACAGTTAGATGGTTAAAAGTTGGTGATTTATGTACCAAAATGGAATTTTCCCAGGAAGGTCAAAATAGTTTGTGACTGGAGGCTTCCAGTAGGTACTAATTTGGACTAAAATGTATAGTATATACACTATCACTATCAATAAATCATTGAAAACAAAAAATTGATTTCAATAAAAAAATGTTTTTTTTTGATATATGTAAATTGAATGTGGTATTAATGTGTAACTACAAATTAAAGCATACTATTTTTTGTAATTAAAACACTTCTTCTTCTTCTGGCCTTATCTACTCTACAAGAGTTTTTGCCGCCATCACAACTCCATGCCACTTCTCTCGATCATGGATTATGTTTCTTCAATCATCTATTTCTATCCTTTTTAGATCTTTCTCGACCATATCCATGCATCTTTTCCTCGTGGTCTCTTACCCATTGGTTTCCAAGACATTACTGTTTTTATTATCTTATCAAAACTTCAACACATAATGTGTCCAAACCACTAGGTTCTCTGGCCTCTTATGTAACACTTAATTGGAGTCATTCCTGTTTCTTCAATCAGTTCCTTGTTAAACTTTCTCCTCCATATACCCGTGTTCGTGTCTAATTTGGGTCCACATATCACACGCCATATCTTGTTTTCGAAGGTAGTAAGTCTTCGTTATGTTACGCTTATAGTCGTCTATGCTTCGCATCCATGTGTTAGTATAGCTCTCACTATCAATGTGTAGAATCTAACTTTTTTTTTCTTTGACAGCATTTTAGATTTGAAAAATTTGGATAATGCAAAGGACGCCTTCCCTACTTTTATTATCCTTAAGGTATTTAAACTCGTTAACTTTTTCATATATCTAGTCATCCGAGTCAGGGTCCATTACATCTGCATCCGTGTCTAAAAGCTCCATGATCTTCGTGAACTTAAAACGCTTAATAAATTAATAATAATGACACAACCCTCAACTTTTTTTTTACAACTAAATCTAACTAAGATTAACCTTATATCAAATTATTGCACATTTACAGCCCTATTATAATAATGGTGCTGAAAGAATTTAAATTTATATAAATCAAAAAAATGTATCTTTGTTTTATATTATTAACATTTTTATGATTTTTACAATTTTGTAAAATTCTGAACTTAAAATACTTATAAAAAACAACCATGAAACCAACCTAACCTAACCATAAATTGGCAATATTTGTATGCTGTAATAACAGAAACTTATAAGAAACCTTGTAAACAATGTTTGATGTTCATAAGAAGTCTTAAGTATTTGTATCTACTTAAAGCTAAAATATTTGAAACCGGCAGAATATTGTTTTTTTTTTTTTTTGGTTTTCTATTATAGTTAAAAAAAGTTGAAGGAAAATAAAAAATTAATTTCTTCATACACCAAATAGACAATACCTGTAACCAAAAACCACACCTAAATTTGATGATTTGAGCAAGTCTTCTGGAAGAAAACTTGTATACAGATAAAAAAAAAAAATTAAACATCACTGTTAAAAGCATGCATTTCTCAGTTTATTCAGAAACTTAAAGTGCAATACCAAAGAATTTTTAATAGTTTATTATAAAACTAATGGTTCAACTAATATATCAATATTCTTAATATTTAATACTATCTGGGGAGTATATTGTACTATAAATAATTGCATATACTAAATGTAATGGAGTTTTTCTGGGTCTTGCTAGTAGTTTTGTCCTTCAATTGATAAGGAGACAGAATATTTCTGTTTATGTAAAATGTTTAAGTATTATTCACATTTTTTTTTTGTAAAACCTACCTTTTTAAATTGTTTTATGTTGCTAAATTCAAGTACCTATTTTTTCAATATAATATGAATGAAATAAAATCATAATTATTTTGCTATGGCTGTATGTTATGCCTTATTTTTATATTGAAATAATTTTTTTCAATTTTATATTGAATGTTTTACAAAAGTTAAATAATTTTTCAATTTATTTTAAAGTTTAAACTTTGTAAACTGAAATGATAAGAGATGATTAATGTACATATTAATGTGTCATAAATATTAGGCATGTTCATATTAATACATTATATTAGGTAGTTCTATAATATCTGTATACTGTATATAGATATTTATATAAGATTTAAGTATTTAAAACTGGTTTCTTCATAAAATAACTAAGTACTTCTATAACAAAAAGTAAAAAATAATCACCCTTACAAATTTTTATTTTTGGTGTTTTTTTTTTTTTTTGTATAATTTCTTTTTTCTTATTTTTTTCTTATTTTTTTGAAGTCCTAATTAAAAATCTGTATATAAATTTAGTAGTTGTCAATTTTTCTATATACTATTTTTATTTAAGAAAAAATTTTTTTTAAATTTATTTAAAGTAATTTTGTCATCATTAAAATCTATGAATATAATATATATTACTTCTCTACCTAATTAAAAAATATTGACATTGTGCCTGTATGATAAATTAATATTTACTAAAAATCATGATTTCTTATTGTTTCAGTTTGCAACATACTAAAATGTATTAAAATAAAAATAAAAAAACCATGTCTGATATGACGGAAGAAGAGACTTCTGGATCACGCCCAGTCAAACGTCAACATCTAGATTCCATTAATGAAACTTTACTATCCAGCACTTCATCATGTGATTATTCTTGTCCTGTATGTTATGAACTTATTCATGAAGCACATATTACAAAATGTGGACATTCGTTCTGTTATAGTTGTGTTTCTAGAGCTTTAGAATCAAAAACATCTTGCCCAAAATGTGGTAACAATTTGTCAGGAGGTATACGTGATGTATTTCCAAATTTAGCTCTTGACAAATTGGTAAATAAGTATAAATTGTTAAATCCAATTCGTAAAGTAGAAAGCTCCAGTAAATTAGGAATTGTTGCTGGACTTCGTGGGTTTGTCACTGCGGAATCAAAGAAGTTAACTTTATCAGATGTAGATGCAATGTTAGAACTTTTAACACGCCGTAAACGTAAACTTGAAGCTGAATCAGCATTGGCTCAAAATCGTTTGTTGTATGAATTTCTCGAAAGGTTACTTACTGATAAGGAATCACAAATGCGCCGTATTGGAAGACAAGTGGAGTTAGTAAAAAAAGATGTAACATTTGTTAAAAAAATTCTAAAAGATTGGGAAACTAAAAAACCTGTGATTATGGATCCAGAACACAGTAATTCTAATGAAAAGTCTGATAGTCCTCCATTAATAATTAGTAATAACTGTGTTCCTGGTAACGTTCAACGTCGACGAATGTGTACACATTTCGATGATTTTGTTGATTGTTATTTTTCATTAAGAGCAAAAGAATTAGTTTTTGGTAATAGACACCCAACTGAAGATGATGGTAATTTTAAAGAAAAAGAACATGAAAAAGGATTGGATGAATTTCGTGAAAATCTTGTAAAATTTTCTAAGTTTAATGCTTTGCGCCCTATAGCTACATTAAATTATGGTACGGATATATTTAATAATTCAACTATTGTATCAAGTATTGAATTTGATAAGGATGATGAGTACTTTGCGATAGCTGGTGTAACCAAACGTATTAAAGTATTTGAATATGATTGTGTTATAAGAGACAGTGTGGACATTCATTATCCTTGTGTCGAAATGATATCGGCTTCTAAGATTTCATGTATTAGTTGGAATTCTTATAGAAAAAATACTGTTGCTAGCAGTGACTATGAAGGTGCTGTATGTGTCTGGGATGCAGGTACTGGACAACGAACTAGGATGTTTCGGGAACATGAAAAACGTTGTTGGAGTGTTGACTTTAATAAGGCAGATGCTGGACTAATGGCTTCTGGATCAGATGATGCACGAGTAAAACTTTGGACGCTCAATCAAGATCGATCAGTTGCATGTCTTGAAGCAAAAGCTAATGTTTGCTGTGTTAAATTCAATCCAATTGGAGCTACTTACCTAGCATTTGGCTCTGCTGACCACTGTGTTCATTATTATGATTTACGACATGCTAAACGAGCTTTAGCAATATTTAAAGGTCACAAAAAAGCAGTATCCTATGTTAAGTTTTTAAATGGAAAAGAAATGGTTTCAGCTTCAACTGATAGTCAACTAAAACTCTGGAATGTAGATGACCATCAAGGGTGTATTCGATCATTTGTCGGACACGTAAATGAAAAAAATTTTGTAGGCTTAGCTACTGATGGTGATTACATAGCATGTGGGTCTGAAAATAATTCTCTTTACATATACTACAAAGGATTACAAAAAAAATTGTTTACATTTAAATTTGAACCAAATACTACACTATTGAGTACAGCCGAAGAAGAAAAAGACAGAAGAAGAGATGAAGATCTAAACGAATTTGTCTCTGCTGTTTGTTGGCGTCAAACATCCAACATTCTAATGGCTGCTAATAGCCAAGGAATTATTAAAGTTCTTGAACTTAAATAATTTCATATTTGTTTCATTACCACTATGCAATTCTTTATATTTTTAATTACCTAGTAAAGTTATTATTTATTTATAAGTAAATTTGTATATTTTTGAGGCAATAATTTGAAAAATAATGTGATATAATTAATTACACATTACTGACAAAGTGTATGGTTTTGTATTATGTTGTATTGATTTTAATTTAATTTAGAATATAATTATTAAAGTTATGTGAGTAGATATTTCATATACTCAAATCCTACATAGGTATTTATTATACGTAAAATTTGTATTTTATTATTATTACATAACTATTATTTAATATTATTATTATCAATTTGTAATTGTGTTGAAAATATTTTATGTAGATGAATAATTAAATATAAATGGAAATTTATTAGAAATATATTATATTGCAAGTAACTTTTAAAATATTGATTATTTTTAATCTACTTTAAAATCACATTTAAAAAAATAAAAACAATAATTTAAGTAGTTAATACTGAAAAATATAATTGCCTACTGTTTTAAATGGATGTACAATATAAATTACACTTTTTTTTTTTTTTTTTTTTTTTTGTTGTTTTTTTTCAGAGGAAAAGGTTTTTTGAAAAAAGGAAAAACTCGATTGTTTTTTAACACAAGTCCTAAATATGGAACTGTTGCTTTAGTTGGAATTGGTAGTGAAAAATTAGATTATTATGATGGTTATGATAGTGAAAAAGAAAATATTCGGATTGCTGCAGCAAGTAATTAAAATATGCATAATCATTTAAATATTGTTGATCATATACAAAATAATATTTTTATTTTAGATGGATGTCGAAGTCTTATAGATTGTGGTATTGAAGATATTTATGTATCTTCCATGGGTGATTCCGAGAGCGCAGCAGAAGGTTCAATATTAGGCTCTTGGAAATTTCAAGAATATAAAAATAAAAAAGATTGTTTACCTAGAATATCATTACTTGAAGAAACAGATAAGTTAGTACAATATTAATATCTCTATGATAATCATCAATGATAACATTTGTCTTATGTAACTAGAGATGCTTGGTGTCGTGGTGTAATTAAATCAAATGCTCAAAATTGGTCAAGAAAACTTGCAGACTCTGCTGCTAATCATATGACACCAACTTTATTTGCTAAGGTTAATATTTATAAACAAACAGAAATACTTCTTCATCATGGTGGGCCATTGTTGTAGATGAGAAGTTGGGAATGTTGAGAGGAAATTTAATGTATATCTGTATGCTAAAACTAATCATTGCTGACAAAAATGATTCTGAACAGTGTTCAGTTATATATTTTTTTAAAGTCCATAATATTTACAATTTAAAGTTAATAAATTTTCCTGGTTTTCTTATGGTTTTTCTTGTTTTTTTAAAACTTATTATGAAAACACCCGGAGAAATCTTAAAATGACCTTAATGTACCTACTCAGTCAGATTAGTCAAGTGCTGCACTTGAAAATAGGAGCAACATTTCTTTTAGAAAAGTTATTAATAGAAAAAAAAAAACTGTTAACAGATACAATTTATACAAATTTATATATTTTATTTTTGATTGGTTAAGGAAGTACAAGAAACACTTTCAAAATATGACAATGTTCAAGTATTGATTCACAATAAAAGTTGGGCAGAAGAACAAAAAATGGGAGGTTTGCTAAATGTTGCTAAAGGTAGTAACCAACCCTTAGCGTTTTTAGAAATCAACTACTCAGGAGCACCTAAAACTGACAAACCGATAGTTTTAGTTGGTAATTAAGTATAAAATACAAAAATGCATTGAAGTGTAACATGAATACTTGTTTTCTTTTATAGGAAAAGGAGTTACATTTGATTCTGGTGGTATATCCCTTAAACCTTCAAATGCCATGGGAGAAATGCGAGCTGATTGTATGGGTGCTTCTAATATAGTGGGTGCCATCCTTGCTATTTCCGAGTTAAAGCTTCCTATCAATGTCATTGGTGAATTCAATATTAATATATACAAACTTTAAGCACAAGTTCAAGAAATTTTAATATATTTATAGGACTTGCTCCCTTGTGTGAAAATATGCCGAGCAGTAATGCACTGAAGCCTGGAGATGTTATCTATGCCATGAATGGAAAATCCATTCAAGTAGATAACACAGATGCAGAGGGCAGACTTATACTGGCAGATGCATTGTGTTATGCATCTAAATTTGAACCAAAAATCACTGTAGATCTTGCAACTCTGACAGGTAATAAAGATTATTTATGGTTATAAGAACAGGATAGATATAATATTTTTACCACCAACCAATTTTTATTTTCTATAGAATGTGATCCTTTATATATCTGACTTATCATGAACCAGTGATTTCTTTGAAGATATTTTGTGAATTTAATTTTTTTTTTTTAAATCAAAATCACTAAATTGCTTTTGTTTACTATTTTGAAATTTTTAACCTAATTCTTTATACATAAAATAAATTTAGACTTAGCTGGTATATGATAAATCATGGATCATAATATTATGTAAATTTATGTAATATTATGCTTTTAAAAATATAATAATTTAAAATGCATGATTATGCATGTGTATTAGGCGCTATGGTGGTTGCTATAGGAGAAGCAGCAACTGGTGTTTTCAGTACTTCAAATGTTTCTTGGTGTGCTATGGAGTCCGCTGGACACTACACAGGTGATAGAATGTGGCGATTCCCTTTATGGAACTATTATTCTTCGTTATTAAAAGGTATTATTTTAATAAATATGTCATCATCAATATTAATCTCAGTGTTATGTAGCCATTTTAATAGTTAATAATTACTATACTTTATATGGTATATGGTAGTATATTATGCTGTGTATTTGCCCATAGGTTATTCTGGTTTCGATTTAGATAATATTGGTAAAGCAAAAGGTCAAGGAGGAGCTTGTACTGCAGCGGCATTTTTAAAAGTATGTTTTATATTTTAATTAACAAATTGGAAAATTTAATTTATACACATATTTTTTTTTACAGGAATTTGCACCTGCAGGTGATTGGATTCATATGGATGTTGCTGGAGTAATGAAATCAGCTCATGAAAACAATTCGTATGTATCTGGTGGAATGACTGGTAAACCAACTAGAGCACTAGTACAATTTGTTTTAAATTTGTGTAAATAAAACTAATTCAAAAATTTAAATAAAAGTGTAACCTATACATGTAGCAGACAAATATTATAATATTTTTATTACTATAATATATTATAGTTTTCCAATTTAAAAATGGTATTTATTCATATTAATTTTTATTATTAAGACACTAAAATTGTTGTATTTATTTCTTATTATTGTTATTATGTTACAAAATTCTAAATTATTGTATATAGGTTTAAGTATAAAAAAAAGCTAATATTACTGATGGAACTAAAATTGTAAAATAACTATAAACAGCATAGAAATTACTAAACTACATTTAAAATTTTATCATATCTAGAAAGGTCAATATCAGTTTTTGTCAAAATTTAAAACTATGATAAATGATAACTGAATTATATACTTCCCCATTTTGATAATCATTAAGAAAAATAGAAAATTAAAAGAAATATTCCTAATCACTAACTAGACCAAAATTATATAAAAAGAGACATCTTGTTTCATGTGATATCTTATTTTTTGATAAGACCAAAATTCCTGGTAGAAAATGTTGCTCCATGGTAAAACTAATGGATGGATCCCTTACTCTGCTTAGAAATTAAATTTAAAAAAAATTATATATAAAAGAATATAGATGAAATAAGGGTAGTTAAGTAAGTAAGTAACATTTATGACATTTAAACTTATATTTAGGCAGCTAAAAAATCAAAGTTCTTGTAGAAGCCAATCAACAGTTTTTTGATGATGATTTATATAATTAGATATTATTAAGTATGTGTATAGTGATCAATTTGAGTGGGCACTCTCATTATATCAGAAAGTATTAACATTTTTCAGAATTTTTTTTATAGAATATTTAAGAAACAAGCAGTTCTACAATTTTATATTTATTTTGTTATTTTTAGGTGTAAAACCACTATCTACTTTTGATTTTTAAATGACAATCTATGTTAAAAATTCCAAAAATAGATGGAGTATTGGTCTAAATAAATATTGATGTTGAAATGTTTGATTTCCATTTACCTATTGATGAGGTATTCTTTTTTTAAGTTTATATTAGGGGAGAGTTATGGGCAACCACACAAATGATGCTCATCAAAAATTTGAATAATATTTGACCAATATTTATTTTAATTAATATTCAATTTATTTATGCAATTTTTAAAAAGGTCGTTTTACCCCACAAAAAATAGAATAGAAAAAAAAAATATAATACAAATTGTAGAGCTAATTGTTTCTTAAACATTCTATAAAAATATTTTCAAAATACTTTCCAAGATAATGAGTACACTTAAATGGATCATCTTGTGTTTAAGTTATTTTATTTTTATATTTATACTATAATATAGTTCTTATATCAAACTAATGATAATAATATATTATTATACCATCACTTTCTGGCTTATGCTTATTCTATCATAAGGCCATAGTAAAATGTTTTTTGTTAGTCCATATTCTGGAAGCCTCTAGCCCTGAATCTAGGTACTAAGAACTCAATTTTTGTTCAGGAGTCACCAGACACAATTTAAGGGTAATCACTTAAGTCATTTTATTATTCAAAATACAACATTTTAGGTTTATAATAATGAATAACATACATAATAACTAGAGCTTGGATTTCAATGCATTGCCATCTTTTTTTGGAATATCTTAAACTATACTTTCCAACAAACAAATGTATTCCATGTTGTAACTATAAAATATGTTGATGTTATTGACCCATTATAAGACATTTTTAACTTATTTCTCATATTATGACTAAGAAAATTGAATTAATTGAAATATAAATGTAGTACTATATAATAAAAATCATTTATATAATATGAACAATATTAATAATATCAGGTAATCTGGTTTTAACCATGCTTCAGTCACATTGTTCAATATCATTCAAGTAGTCTCTCCTCTATATATATGTAAAACAATTGTAGTAATTCAAAAATAAG